GATGATGAACACGTTCCCTGCCAGGGTGAGGAGGTAGATGCACAGGGTCCCCAGGAACGCGAGAGATTGCAGGGTCCCAGGGGTCGTGAAACCAGCGAGGGTGAAACTCTGGGTCCATGTGTGGTTGTCATGATCCATGATTTCTGGAAATGAGGGGTGAAGACAGAAGATTAACTACTTTACAATTCTTCCTGAAAATATTCCACAGTTCCAAAAGTATAGAACATGAACCTGAGAATAACCTAAATGTTATCAAAACAACTCCCCTCACTTTTCAAAAGACTAAGTGAGGACCAGAAGCCAGAAGGCTTTGCATAAGGTCAGTCCATTGCTGACACTTGGAGCAAACCCAGGGTTCCTGCTACACAGCCTAGGATGTTTCCAGCTGTATGGACTGTGGCTCCAGAGTCTCAGAAACCAGGGTTTTCTCCCAGGCACCCCACCAGGAAACAGAAGAAGTAGTAAAATTCTCACTCTCATCCTGATAAAATCCAAATGAAATGTCCCACAGTTCCTCAAAGCACCCACCTGTACCCAACAACCAGTTTTGTTAACTGTGGATAAAGGAGACATATATTTTCTAAAATATGACCATTGAGGCTCTCTCAGGGAGCTTGTCTGGAATTCAGGATTGTTCTCAGCAAAAGGTGAAGGATGAACAGACAGGAGAAGAAAGAAATGTGGAAGCTCTGGGAAGAGTCCCTGAGCTCAAGACGGAAGGGCCCAGTGAGGAATGAATGAGTGACACGGGTCACGTTAGGAAGGATCCCAAGGGGAACAACGAGCTATCTACCAGGAAGTCTGGAAGGGAACGGGGAGTGAATCAATGATGTCAGGACAGGTCTAGAAGGGCTGCAGCTTAACATAAAGCACGTTCTCTTTCTAGAGAGAAATTGGCTTTCTAAACGTGCTTTGCCACTAACTCAAAAAATGAACACTGAGCCTGGCCATTCCTCCTCCCTTTTCCTCAAGCTTCTCTTCTCTCCAATGAAGAAATGTAAATAGATGCCCTATAGCTCTTCATAGTCATGGTAGCCTGTGGTTCCCTAAAGCCTCTGAAGGACGTTGGCGGCGGAGGGTGGACACAGGTGATCTGCATGAGTGTCCCAAGAGCGCTCTTCCCACACATCTGTTGGGCATAACCCAGGAGCAGCCAACGGCCGCCCTTAGCCCCCGTCCCCGGCCTTCCTCACCTCTGCCGCGCCACCCCTGCCCATTACCTGTTTGGGTGGCATCAGGACTTGTAGCTGCATCGTCCGTGCCCTTTCTACATCAAACACACTCTGCTTCTCATGTCTCGTGCTCCTGGAGATGTCGGCCTCCCAGGGGCTCCCTGCTGGTGTCCCCTGGGGCTCTGGGATGTGACTACTCTCAGTAAGGGTTCCTCAGGGGCAGGCAGTTGGGCACAGGGAAGTGGAGCAGATCAGCTCTATTTCTCTAATGACTATCTCAACCCTGCAACCCTGCGTGTGGTGCTCTGGAATGCCATCTCAGGGACACTGCCTCCTGTGGGTCACTAGGACTTTTTGCAAGTTCCATATATACAGCTTTCTGTGGGGAGAGACCACCCAGCTTGCACAATCTTGTGCACACATGCAGAGAAACACCCTGAACCCCCAGAGGTGTGTTTCGTCTTTTAAAAATTCTCCTTGCATGGGAATTTGTCATCCATCTGCTTTTCCAATCACCCCTAACTTCAGCACTTTGTGAGCACTGTAACACAGGCACGGCTGTGCACTTCAATTCTGTGGTGTCCACCTCTGTGCCTCTCACCACATCTCCACCTTCATCAGGTCCTCTGGTACGCATCAATGGTTCAGCCATTGTTTATTGAGTACCTAATACACGGCTCCAAGTCCGCTATCCAGGACTTATTACCAAGGACTTCCTCATGAGAAATATCCACTTTTTCGTAATCACTTTTATTTATATTTCTTGCACAATCTTGTGCACACATGCAGAGAAACACCCTGAACCCCCAGAGGTGTGTTTCGTCTTTTAAAAATTCTCCTTGCATGGGAATTTGTCATCCATCTGCTTTTCCAATCACCCCTAACTTCAGCACTTTGTGAGCACTGTAACACAGGCACGGCTGTGCACTTCAATTCTGTGGTGTCCACCTCTGTGCCTCTCACCACATCTCCACCTTCATCAGGTCCTCTGGTACGCATCAATGGTTCAGCCATTGTTTATTGAGTACCTAATACACGGCTCCAAGTCCGCTATCCAGGACTTATTACCAAGGACTTCCTCATGAGAAATATCCACTTTTTCGTAATCACTTTTATTTATATTCATACCCTCAACATTTTCATCAAAAACCCTGAGATTAGCATCTGAACTCTGACCTCAGCTGAGCACCATCTGCAAGCCTGTACTGGGATGATTATGGAATCCAGAAAAGTAATAGAATAAAAACATTTTTCCATTGGAAATAATACATTTGAGTCATTCAGAGATCCAAAGGTACTTTTTTTTCCAGAATCAAAGGTGGAGATGAGACAGTTGTGAACTTAAATTTAAGGTAAACTGGTAACCATGAGAGATGAACGGGTACATTGACATTGTGAAAAGGAAATCATTGAACATTCTGACATTCAACTGGAGCAGCTTCCTGCAGAGGCTGAAGATTTTGAGCAAGAGGAAAGAAGGTATCTGCTTCTGATAGTGCTAATGTAACTTCAGGATTGGAAGAGTCTCTTTAAGAAAGAATTCTCAAGTATTTGGACAATCAGAGAGCTCATTCAGTCTCAACCAGCACTGAGCCTGCATCCCGCCTTGTCTGAAATACCTGTCCTTTCCTCAGGATGGATACTTGCAGCTGCCCGTCCACTAAATTACCACACCCTCCACAGCCCCAAACACCAAAAGACTCAGTTTTTATTCTTGTTTCATGGATCTGTATAGATTAGCCATCTATGTAGACTCTTCAAATCAATAACTGTGACGGACCCAGAGTGGCCACTTGAATACTTATTTTTACATCTCTGTGTAATCACATCAGTTCGGTATGACTACAGTCCCCTTTTTTGAGCTAGACTCTGAAACCAACTAGCTTCTTCATTGGTAATGTCCAGTTGTATATGGGGATATCTTGGCATTAACTGAGTAGATTAGAAGATGATCACTGTTATTGAAATAGCTGAGCACGGGAATTTCAGGCACTGTCTAGAAGCAGTGGGGCAGAAGTCAGAAATCTATAGTAAAATGCTGAGGACTTCGAAGTATAAGTGTTGCCTAGCCAAGAAAGTTGTTCCTTCTCCTTCATCTCATCACTTCAGGAGAGCGGGCTAAGCTAGCACTTCTCCTGCATCAGGAATGGACTGAGAGAAGGGAACAAGATCATGCCTCCATCAAGTGGTCCATGATTCGGGAAGAAAGACGCCTTCCAGAATGATCTGTGCCTCGACCTTGTTCAGAAGCTCAGGTATCACTGATCATGGTTGAAAAAAATTCATACTTGTTAGAAAAGGATGGATGCATAAATTTTTAAGTGATGGCATTGAAAATGATTTTAAAATTTTATTCATCTAAACATTTTATGTACTACATTTCTATATAATACTCTTTAAAAGAAGATTATGAAAATTGTATCAAGAGAAATATGGGAAATCACAGTCACTCAGTTACTCTTTTATTTAATACATACTTTAAATATCTTTTATACCCAAGAGTTACGCTAGGAACTGGGGAAAATGAGATGCATAAAACACTATCCTTCTCCTTAAGATGTTCCTATAGAATTTGGAAGAAGTACTCTCAAATCATTCAATTATATTACAAATATGATTTTTAAATATAATTTCAATCTCATACACAATGAGATAAATTTCAAACTTAAAACTATAATGAGATATTTTTTCTCAATTTTCTTTATTTACAAAGGTCCAAAAGTTGGAGAACACACCTTATAGAAGCTGCTGCAGAAAAACACCCTTTCATCTTTTGTTGGTGGAAGAACTACATGGCTTAATCACTTTTGAGGAAAATTTAGGAATATTCATCCGTATTTCAAATGGATTTGCACAATGACCCTACAAATTCCTTGGAATTGGTAGGCACATATAGAAAATGATCTATATAGAAGGTTATTCATTGTAATTCTGTATTTAATAGCCAAAGACTTAAGCAACTTAAGAACCCTTCAACAGAGGACGAGTCAAAGTAAACATAATGGAATACTACAGAGCTAATTTTTAAAATCGGAAAGCCCTCTCTCCAAGGAAATGGAAAGATCTCCACGAATTCCTATTGAGAAAAAGAAAAGCATAGATAGAATATATAGCATGGGGCCCTATGCTTAAGAGAGATTATAAAATATTCTCATCTTCTGAGTTTGTCTGTAGACCACTAAATTCCGTGATTTTAGAAGAGACTCAGACAACACCTTTACCGCTGCAGCCAATTCTTGCCCCATTAGGAAGTAGATTATTATTTCTAACCGCCAGCTCGCTGCCTGGTAGGATCATCCTCCCGTCCATAGAGTTAGCTCTTCTCACATGATCACCCCGGATCACTAAATTCCACCTTGAAAAGCTTTCTCCCATGGCTTCTGACTTGTATCTGAAACTTACACAAATTATAATTGTGGTCTCCTTTTTGCCAACATTCCTGTCCAGGTCCCTGATCTCCGTCCGGGAACCCTGTATTGGCATGAGCCCCACCGTCCGCTTCCGTCTGTCTTCTTTCTCTCAGTATTGCACTAAGTCTTCAGTTTAACACCATATGCACTGTGTCCCTGGGTTTTTTTCCCCCATCTTTGTGGCATTTCTTCCTCAGTAGACTGAGATGGAACCAAAGACATAATTCTTTTCTCTCTATGTGTTTCAACTCTGATAACCCCAGGACTATGTCTTGTTGAGTGGGTATCCGCATCATGCTTGACAAATGATCTGATTGATTCTTTGTTGGTATTTACTTTTGCTCTAAACAGATGACTGCCTAACTAGACAGCTAATTCCTGTAGTTGTCAAGAAGTTGGGCTATCACGATAGAAACTGTCAAGGTTCCTTCAAAATAGCCCTGATCCTACCAGTGACCCTCTTTACTGCCTCCTTCACCTCCTTGTTGCGAAGGGTATAGATGATGGGATTGAGGAAAGGTGTAAGAAGGGTATATACCAAGGCTATCAGCTTGTCTGTGCCCTCAGGGCGACTCCCAGCTGGCCCCACATACACAATGAAGGCAGAGCCAAAGAATAGAGTCACTACAGTCATGTGGGAGGAGCAGGTGGAGAAGGCCTTGGCACGGCTGGCAGCTGAGGGCAGCTTCAACACAGCCCTCAGGATACCTCCATACAGGCCCGAAATGAGCACAAGATTGCATGCATTGATCACACCAATCACTACAATATGGACCTGAGCATGCCAGCCTGTGTCCACACATGCCAACCGCATTAGGGGTGCCAGGTCACAAAAGTAATGGTCCACCTCTTTCAAACAGAAGGGCAGTGTGGCAGTGAGGATGGCCGGCAGAAGTGCAACTGAGAAGCCAGACCCCCAAGCAGCCCCTGCTAGCCCTAGCTGCACCTTTCTGCCCATGAGTGCATGGTAGTGGAGAGGGCGGCAGATGGCAAGGTAGCGGTCCAGTGCCATGACACCCAGCAGGCAGCACTCAGTCATGCCCAAGGAGTGGAAGACATACAGCTGGGCGAAGCACGTGGCTGCCGAGATGGGGGAAGGCCCTCGGAGCAAGGTGTGCAGCAACGTGGGCGCTGTGGTGCTGACGTACCAGAGTTCCAGGAAGGAGAGGACACTGATGAAGAAGTACATGGGCGTGGACAGGCCAGAATCTGCCTGGACCAGGACGATGATGAACACGTTCCCTGCCAGGGTGAGGAGGTAGATGCACAGGGTCCCCAGGAATGCAAGAGGTCGCAGGGTCCCAGGGGTCATGAAACCAGCGAGGGTGAAACTCTGGGTCCAAGTGTGGTTGACATGATCCATGATTCCTGGGAATGAGGGGTGAAGACAGAAGATTAACTACTGCACGATTCTCCCACTATTCAGAAAATGTTCCTAGTGCCAAAAACGTGAAATGTGAGCACCTGAAAGGACTTGACAGTAGCTAACCAACGCCTCTCACTGTGCAAAGGCAGAACTGCAGTCCTGCAGGCCCACTTGTTGGGCCCATAGCACAGACTCTGTGGCTGACTGGACTGGAACTAGAATCCAAGGCTCCTGATTCCCATTCAATCCATGTCTATTACAATAACTGTGTTCTAGAGACTCAGAAAACTGGATTTCTTCCTTACTCCACCACCAGGAAAAAGGAGAGAAAGAAAAACTCCTACCTCTATCCTTTCTATAGTTTCCAATGATAAAATTACCAGCAATGTTGGGTTACAGCAAAGGGATGTAAGTCTTTCCCTGAGAGTGACGCTGAGGCCTCTTTCAGGAGCACCGCTCTGGAGTTTATAGACTCTTCTCATAAGGACTAGATGAAGATATAAGAAATGAAATAAATGCAGATGTTCTGAGAACAATCCCTGAAATCTTAGGTCCTTGGTCCCAGATGATACACTCAGAGGATCGTGATGCCTTTTGAAAGATGATCTCCAAGGAGACGTGCAACTAGAGTTCTCAAGGAGAAAAACCATTAGGGCAAAACCCCAGACAGGAAGCCCTGTAACATTTTTTTTAAAAAGCCTTCTATGAAGTCAGATATTTGGCTTTGTAAAGTTGCTCTGTCATGAACTGTCAATGCACATTGGGCTGAGCAATTGCTTGTGTACACTTAACTTCTCCAAAATAAAAAATGGTTTAAACACATGTTTTCTAAGACTTATAACAGATAATTTATGGTTCCCTAAAGTCATGGAAAAAAAATTCATGGGTTGTGGGGGGAATCAATGCACTGTCCCTAGAGGTTTCCCCCTACATCCTGATAGACCTCATGTAAGAAAGGTCAAAGCCCTCCCTTAGTCGTCTTCATGAGCTTCTCTCCTCTCTGCTGTCCCGTCTCCCCATTACCTGACTGTTTTGATGACATGAGGACTTGTGGCGGCTTCCTCAGCATCCTTCTACCTCAAGACACTTCTTTACTTATATCTCATGTTGCTGATGTCAGCCTCCCAGGGCTCCCCGCTGGTGTCCCCTGGGGCTCTGGGATGTGACTAGCTCTCATAAGGCTTCCTCAAGGGCAGGAAGTTGGGCACAGGAAAGTAGCAGATCAACTCTATTTCTCTAATGACTTTTCTCAACTCTACAACCCTGCATGTTGGGCTCTGGCATGACATCTCAGAGACCCTGCCTCCTGTGGGTCACTAGAACTTTTTGCAAGTCAATTATAGCTTTCTATGGGGTGAGACTACCCAGCTTGCACAATCTTGTGCACACAGGGAGAGTAATACCTTGAACCCCCAGACATGAGCGTCATCTTTTGAAAATTGCTTTCCAAGGAGACTTAATCAGCTCCATTTCCATGCAACTCCAATAAGAAGAGTTGATGACCCAAGATGAGTAAATTATCAATTTTTCCACTACTAATCTTAGCAGGAAATGAGGAAGATCAGGTCCATCACTTCTACTTCGGGTCTCCTCATCTCCAAGTGACTGCCTTCACCATGAGTATCATTTACTCATTGCTTCAGTCATTGAATATCTACTATATGCCGAGCACTGCTCAAAACTACCACAACCCCTGTATTGCTACCATCATTTATACCACCACTACTGTTATTTTTACATGGAACATCCACGTGATGCTTATCCAGTTTTCCATCATCACTTGCATTTTTATTACCATCAGCATCATCTTTATAAAGGTCCTGCAGTCAGCATATGAATTCTGACCTCTACTGGGCACTGGGAATATGCATATACTGCAAAAGGCCTGCCGGCAAAATTGTTGCATTTTCCATGGTCCCAAACACCAAGACACCCCCAACTTGGAGTCTTACTTATGGATCTACAACACAGGTTCAGGGACAGACTTCTCCCATGTTTTATAATGTCCAATGGTGTATCATCCTCGCTGGAATAAAATAGTATATTATAATAGCTGTGTGTTTGCATTCAGAAAGCAATCAAGGTGACAAAAATATGTATTTGTAAGAAGCTTATCCACAAACTCAAATCTATGCAAAAATATATGCTAAAGACTTAGCATTGTATATGAATAAGGAGAGGGGTGTTTGATTTAAAAGTCACCTAAAGAGAGAAAGAAGTTGGAGTGTTCCACGCTTAGGCTTTGCTTAATAAAGCTGTTTATTTTCTTCTCATGTCATCTCCCACTAGGAGAGCATGCTCACTTAATATTAATTCTGTATTAAAAATGGAAGAAGAGAAAAAAATAAGGCCTGATACCTCCATCAAGAAATTAATTATTTAGCAAAAGAGACAACTAAGAATTTCTGTTAGTGTTAAGTAAAGAAGGTAGGATTTCAAGTGTCAGTGTTTTATGGTTCTAATATGATTGTCAATATTTGTAGAAAGCCTATGCCACAGGAAATGATTAGAAAGAACAGATGAATACTTGTTTAAAAATAATTTGAAGTGATTTTTTTATTTTTACTTACCTAAATAGTGTATTTATGGACATATTGAGATATAATAGTGTTTTTTAAGAATAAAGGATATCTACAGGTTAAAAAAGGTGTCATCAAAAGCAGCTTAGATAATATGAGGAGGGGGGAGTCACAGTGATTCTGCTATTAATGCATTAAACGTATTTGTCAAATTGTTTATATTTCCCGTATCACCTACTAGGGAAATTATGATGCATAAAACATAATCCCTTTCCTAAAGATGCTGAATTTGGAGTGAGTATTTTTCCTTTTATCTTTATCAGACTGTGAGGTGAAGATCATTACAGCTTTGGTTGTTGTTTTTTTGTGTGTGTGTTTTTTTCATGAGAAAAACAGGTGCTCAAAGAGAGAGTACGTTTTTTACTGAGAATTGTATAATGAAAGAGTGGCAAAACCAGCATTTGGACCAACACCTTGTTCATTCTGTTCTGGGTGCCCAGATCTTACCTATCGGGGCCTCATTCAGATCCAGCTTTCTTTAAGGGCTGTATTCATGGAGTCAAAACTCCCGAAGAAGCAATGTATGCAGTCATCCACTTCAGCCTCTCGTTTGTCAAGACAGAGAGAACGAGGCCCAGAAGTCTTGCCAAGGTGACCAGCCCTCTGGGGTGGATCTGGAGTTGAATCCATGTCTCTTTACAGCAAGTCCAGCCATCTTTCTTTTTTTATTTTTTTACAGAAAACAACCAAAAGCAATTTTATAAAAGGAGCGTTCATGGTCCATGCAGTGACCTGTGTCTGCCATGCTCCAGTCCTGTCTTAGTCATGAATGAGTACTGAGGGTAAAATTGCAACATGTCCTGAATCTCCCACCTGGCCTTAGTCCATCTCCATATCAATAGGTACTTACAAGGGGGAGCAGGGCATATCTGGGCCAGAGAGTTTGGGTGGGACCCCTTTTTTCTGCAGCTGAGTCACAAGAGACACAGGGGAGCAGAAGTAGACACTGCTTGTAAGCAATAAATGGGTTTCTCCCACTTTATTTCTCCCTTTGACTGATTTTGGTTTCAAAGGTATTTTCCCCCGGGATTCTCCCCCAAGAGTTACAAGTGTGCATCCTCGGCAGGCCACGTGGCCTCTCGGCCCTCAGTTACTCATCAGAAAAGTAAGAACCGAACTACTTCATCTGGAACTCACTGGGAAGCCAGAGGAGACAAGCAGGGCTTGGCCAGAGCCTCCCGTCTCCAGCTCTGCTTTCTATTTCAGTCTGTTCTCCACTTTATATATTATGGTTCTAATACCATTTATTTGTTTGTGTCCTTGAAAATGTGGGGTCAGATGATTTCCTGGGTGTCTTCTTTGATGCCTCAAGAAAACTGGATCTGCTTCTTGCCAGGGTTTGGGAAGCAATGGCTAAACTGACAGGAAGAAGGAGAGAATGTTCCTGGTTCCAGGTAACCTGCCTGTCTGTGCAGACAGAGACGGCTGCATTCAGAACAGGGAAAGCACTTCTGCGTCACCGGGCAAAGAGTCAACCGGACTAGGGCCTCGGTCACGTGGATTGAGGTGCAGGAGCCAGGGGCTGGATGATGGCCTGTGTCAATTAAAAACCCTTAGTAATGGTGAGGGGCAGAGAGGGCGGGGAAGTTGGGACAGGGTCTGAAACCCTGGATATACCAACAAATCTGTTTCTGCTAAGTCTAACACAGAACCCAGAAACTTTAAGAGCCTTAGGATGTCTTTTATTGTATCATGTATCACAGGTCAGGGAAGGTACAATCAGGTTAATGATAAGCTCTAACATTTTATAATCTACTGCCTTTAACCATGTTTCCCACTTATTCATCTTTATATGCCTTTCTCTCCATTCATTCTGGACTGTTATTAATTACTGACCCCATCTCCCTACCTATCCTATATTAGTTGTGTATCTAAAATGTCCTTCTCTGCCTCCTCTAATCAGGGAATAACACTAGATCCATCATTTTTGCTGTGATCCTAGACCAGCTGTACAGCCTTCCTGAGTCCCAGTTTCCTCATGTATAAGTTTACATACCCATTTTAGTGGGCTCTCAATAATAGTATTACTGCTAATACTACTAATTTCTTGGCAGTAAAAACATATGTATTGAATTAAATTACTGATAATTGGTCTGAATGGGCGGAAAGCTTACACAGTTTTGAATGTCATTTCAACTCATCTTCACTGGAAGGCGCTGGAAATGTCCCTACCAGCCTAGCCAGTCTGTGTTCTGGGTAAGCTCGGAGAGCCACGGGCCTCCCTTTGAAAAACGGAGACCATCCTGCCAGCCTCCGTGGGAGGCACTACTGAAA